AAGAATGCCAACGAAGGAAGAATGTGATATTAGTGATATTGATAATAACAGAGAGGCATAAACTCGTAATGAGTTGAATTGCTGATTAAATAAATAAATAAATAAACAGTGAAGGCAATCTCATTGTGATCGGTTTTGTCTATTACATGAGCGAATTGAATTACATATAATCATAAGAACAGTCTTAAATCCGAGCAAGATCGCTTGAAAAACAAGAATTGAAATTGAGAGTTGCATTTGATCACTGCTGAACAGTGATTCCAGTTGGTCGTTTTCACCTTCATCCCGATGTTGATCCGTTTTCAATTCCTCTTTGAACATCTCATAAACTATCGATGCCGTTGATTTCAAGGTTCACATAAATTGCTGTAGATTCACTGACATTGATCAATGTCATTGAATATCCAATCAATTGGTTTGATCCGCATAGTCCAGCATAAATCAGGTTTGAATCTTATTCGAACGCATTCGATATATCCGATCCTATCAGTAAATCTCACCAAACGTCTCGTACAGTACGAGCACACACTAATAAAGCCTGTTACAGTGTTCAGGATATCCATTTAATCTTCATGCTTTCATAGGCTATTCGATGACTCCGAACAACTCCAGATGTACACTTGAACTTCAGATGTACAGATTCAGATGCAATTAAGAAATTTGATATGGTCGACTTTTTCAAGTCGCCAGTGGAAATCGGTAACGGAAGCAGGCAATCGTTTAAGGCCATTCAGTGCAAATCAAACATGTATCGACGAACTCAATTCAGTTCAACTTAACCTTTTACAATTCAATCAATCATTTTTCCATATTCCAATATTCCATCAATTAAGTCGACTTTTATTTGAAATTTTCGAATTTCATTCAAACGATCGCAATTATTCTATTCAGCAGCAAAATTGATCCACCAATTTTATCGTTCAAACAATCAATGGCTGCGAATAATAGCAAAGCATTCAAACGAAGGCGGATGAATCATGTCTTTTGAATATAAGTTACGTAAACCAACCCAAAAATAACCCCATCAGTGAGCTGAACTGATTTTTTCTAGATTCAAATTGTTATGTCTGTGTGGTCGAAAAAGTCGAAAACTAATGCGTTTTTAATGTTGCCATTAAGGAGCTCTACTGTTTGTATATCAAGTAATACTGTCGTTGAAAATTTTCCCATCGAAACAGGGGTCTTCTTATTCCACTTGTTTCAAAAACTACCTCAAATTATTTTGAGATATTATCAGAGCGCATCAGCTTCTCAATTTATTCTAAATCATACTGTTTACTGATACATGTTTGAGAGTTACGTGTTCGCTCACTGTTAGATCATGTAATGAGTGAAATTATTTCTGCGCAAGTGATAATGCATTTTAATAAGCAATTTATTACGCAAACAACACACACTCAAATGAAATATTTTAAAGGTATGATACACGAAAAGAAATGGGATAATTGAAACTGAGTATCACTGAAAACATTACAATCAACCATAAGTGGTGGATGAATGAGCTGCGATGTAGCAGAGTGTCTTGCGCGATATGCGCCTGGGCATCCTGAAATCCAAAATGTAGTTTATTAGACTACTTATCAACATTATATCATAGAGCAGGCAGTTTAGATCAACATTTGCATATTCTTGAGCCTTCGCGAGATAAAAGTTGTTGAAAATCAATGATTATCATCAATCCCAAATCCTGAATCGCACGTTTCATCAATGATCGCACGTTAAACTCCATTTCAATCGCCTTGTTGTTTAATTTTCATTTTTGAACATTGTAAAAGACTTATAAGTAAGCAATGGAATTATATGAGTAATCAAGTAAGCAATGGAATTATATGGATGTATCGAAACGAAAAAACAATCAGTTCAACCAAAAGATCGACAAAAAATCAGTGATATTAGACCATCGTTGATTTACTATCATCTTTATCCAAAATCAGCGAAACAAAAATTGATTAAGATGATGATCAAAGAAAGAACAAACAATAGAAAATGAGAAAATAAAACCTAATTTCGCGAAATCAATCTGATAAAACAAACAGATATTCCCTTCTGTGAAACAGAAATGAAAATTAGGGAATTTCTCTGATAATATACATCGGTAACTCACCAAATTTCATTTTTTGTTTCCTTTTCCAGTTGTCAAGCGCCAGTAACCTAATGACATGAAGCCATCTTACTGGTCACATCATGTATGAGTTTGTTCATTTGGAAATTCAACACTGACTCGCCAACATGCCGCAAACACCTGAAAAAATCTTCTCATCTTAAAATTGCCATCAAGAAAACGAGATCGGAACAAGGAAGGGTGAATAGTATTCGTATGAAAATGTGCTGTAAGTTGCAAAAACTCGCAATATACGATGAATTTCCTATGTTCAACACGATCGAAGTTGATCACAGGAAATAATTTCTAATGATCAGTTTTGATCAGTGAATGGTGTCAAAACAATTCCGATTCGAAACAAATGAAACTGAACGCACCCTATTCCTCGAGGGCAACCCTTCGACAGTTCCCAACAATGTACCTGCAATACTCGCATTCGATGGAAACACGGGTACTGGAACCCGTATGCTGATAGTATCGGCCATTCTCCGTTACAAGCCGTTGTCTGAATTTCATAAGCAACTATAATTCTTATTCCATAACTTTGATTAGATCGCTGAATCACTCAATACAACTTCATATGAACTCAGAAATAATGAAGTGACAGATTGAGGCTTTGTAAATGCTCGTCACTCGGTAATAACTCCATATCGTAAGCAGAATTTAAGTGTATCTACTGGAATAAAATGATAATCGAAATGTTTAAGCATACTGGATGACTAGGTTTCGGTCGATATAGCTCATCACTGATTGCCTCTTTCATGCAGTCATCGAATTTTGCAGCAAGTCGTGATGTCATAGAATCTATCACCTGTAAAATGCTGTCTTCCATTTAATGCAGAACTGATAAATGAATTGATAAACAAGCGAAGATCAATGTGTAAAAGTGAGGTGATTAGATTCTTGCGTTTTCATTTGACTGCTGAAATTTTTTGATTAAAGCTGAAAATTTTCTCTGGCTCATTCAGAATGATTTTGTTGGAATAGTAATAAAGTTTTCAATTTCTTAACTTCAAATTATTGGCAATTTCTTGAACACAGTTACTTGTTTGATTCCTCTGCAATGAACCATCCTTAAATCTGCAACAAGCGAAATATCATTTGAGAATTTCGCTATAAATTTTCTGTCTCGATGAAATTGTTGGTGTTTGAAAGAATAACGTTCGGAAATTATGATCAAAAAAAGTTTTGAATAATTCCGAGCTCTGTGCCAGCATAAAACTGAACTGGTGGAACTGTATAAGAATGTGATCAGTGCTTCAATCAGAACTCAGAAATGCTTCAAAAGAATAC